TTTTCCTGTTGCGAAGTGCAACACCCAGTCCGTTGACGGCCTGGCCATGCTAGTAGCGAAAGCACGAGCTGAGGTTGGTCTAACTCCTGTTTTGAGAGCTGCTTCTTCTATTACCATCTCTGGTGTCACTATAGTGGGCCCTTCCAGAGTGTGAAGCTTGTCTGGGATATTCGGTGCCAGGACTGATATCCAGTTGGAGGCGGCTTCCAATTTCATTTCAGAACTGTCTAAGATGGCTCCTCCTGAGAGAAGTGCACCTCTAGCTCCTTCCCCTTCGGCTTGTATTGCGAACCCTGAGTTCACTACAGTGACCTGTTTGATTGTCGAGTTGGCCAGACGCAGCTTGCTAGCTAGGCTAATCTTTACGAAGTAGGGTGACATACGTCTCCACGGGTGGTCAGGTTTGAGGCGCAAAAATACGCGCTCGTCAGGTCACTGGGGGTTTGTTGCTGGAGCTTTAGGCTTCGGCGCGGAAACGGGCCTCACTGGCACTGGCTTGGGTGTTGAAGTTGGAGCCACTTGGTTTGCTGGCTTGCTTCTTTTTCCCAACACCTCGGTCCAAGATTTCTCTGTGGCGTTGTTGTTGGTTATGTTCGAGCCCTGGTTAGGCTGGAGAGTTGCTGTTGTGGCAGACGGCTTTGATGGTGCCGGTCTGTTCTTTTCTCTGGCAAGGATCAGCACTGGACGTGTGACGCTTGCAGGACTTTTTTTTGGAGGCTCTGTAACTTGAGCCGGATTAGATGTGTTAGTATGGCCGCTTGCAGCCTTTGGGGGAGCGTTGGCGTCTGCTTGAGATGGGTTGCCCCATAAAATTTCCAGTATCTTGCCCTGAAGGGCCAGTAAGTCCTGACCAAAGAGTTTTCGAAGTCTCTCGTCAGTGACTGGTTCCAACAGCTTGCAGAACCCGATGATGAAACGCTCTGCTTGTGCAGAGCGCGTCTGGAATATCCTGCCCTGTTCGGCGAGGAATTCGGTCGCGACAATTTGAGGCGACGGAGTTTGTTGGTGGGGCGAGCTTCGATGACTCGCCTCGTAGATTGGCTCTACAAATTGTTAGGTGGGTGGTTGTGATGGCGGTTGTGGCCCGTTAAGGACCATTTCGACGTCTTGACGCGTCGAACATTGAGTGGGGAGGGGGGGCCAGGGGCCAGCCTCTGCGGAGGACTGGGGCGGCATGGGTGATTGAGAGATGAATTTGTCAGTGAAGTGTCGTAGGTAGAATGCGATAGTATCACTCGAATCAAGTGCTTTGTTGTGTGTTATCTTATGTGTGAAGAATATGTATCCGCCATGAGGTATGGTCCAATAGTCTTCTAATTATCGCTTAGAAATACACATTTTCAACGACACTTGTGGCTGCCTAACCTACATAGTCCTTGAAACTCAACACCACTATCAATTCATCCTCTATTCTAGCAAACAATGTCTCTCCAAAAGTCTGCTTCAGAAACTAAAGTTCGCAAGCATCTAACTCGCGATCAATGTATTGAAATAAGAGCAATAAGAAGACTTGGCTTGACACTTCAAAATATATCCGACAAACTTGGCTTCACAATAAGACAAGTACAACTTGCGTGTGCTCGAGAGACTGAGAATCCTATGCCTCGCAAAGGACCCTTACCAAAATTAAGCGCGGAACAAGTTGATGAGCCTGAGGCTTTTGTCCGGGAGTCTCCTGAAAATCGACAGATGTGCTATTTAGAACTAGCGATGGGGCCCTTCCGCCATTGGGGATGCAGTGAACGTTTAATTTCTAATGCACTCAAAAAAATAGGTTACAGCAGATGCATTTCTCGGAAAAGCCTCTGTTAAGTGCGATTAACGTTCTCGAAATATGTGCACTAGTGACAAAGGCCAATGGAGGATACACGAAGTATTAGGATGGAGCCAACTAATACAAACATATAGTTCGTTTTCATTTTACTCGGGAGCAATACTGAGGGCTTCGATGTAGACTTTTGTAACACAGAGCAATAATTTTTGAAATAGATGTGCATTTTTAGAGAATAACAATTGATTTTTTTAAATTTGAATTACAAATGAGGACCATTGTACTTTTCCCATTGAGTTGAGAGCCATCCCCATAATTTAGGCTTTCACGGAATGTCATTGGATAGTACTCCTGGCTTGCATAACTAGTCGACGAACTAGATATGGGCCTGCATGAAGACTAAACTAATCTAATCGATTTGCACAGGGGTTTAACCCTAGTCATTTTGATAATTTTACCTTTGTCATCCATATGAGATTGTACACTTTTTTTTAGCATTAGATTTTAATTGCGTTTGCAGCTATCTAGCTATGACACAATATCAAAGAAAAGTACAGAATAGATGATTCATCGTAAAGAAAGAGCACTCATGCCTCGGATTTCATTTGCAAGTACCACTGCGAAGTTATGGTGGCTTTTTCTTCACCACAAGTCAATCCTCATCCGTGAATACCCACCCAGGGAAACGTCTCAAAAACCCTCGGTTATCCAGACATGCCTCCGTCATCCATCAACTTTTCTCCGCGCGAAATGCAATCTGAGGTGTCTCCTTCCCAAGTGGAATAGGTGCATAGGCCACTTAGACTATACCAGAGAACACCACCAGGAGCCGGACTACGGCACCTTCCATCGTTGGCTTGTGTTTATAGTGTCAGCTGCACTCTCGCGAGCGAAGTCTTGGCGCGCACAAAGCCCAATTCGTAAAACTCCTTGCCAAATTTCGGAATCTCATGCCCTTTGAAGTTATATCCCTCCTTCGCATCATCTTGTGAACTTGTCCTGAATCCTCTCACGTCCATCCCAAAGAAATGTCTCCCAGATTTGTGCACCACGCTTTGCTTCCTCCTGCGAGTGTAAATATCGGCGGGGGCGTGTATATGGTGGTCAACTGAGGCCAGAGAAGGTCGAGGAGTGGTGTGATCATTGGAATGAGGATGTACTAGGTCGTAATTGCAGAATTGATGAGACTCAAGTAGGAGTCAAACTCGTTGGGAGCTAAAAAACGACGTGGTGGAGTAATTTTAATCATTGCCTCGTGGGCCAACATGTTCGATACTGCGAAATTTGACTGAACTTGGCTCTGGGAGAATATTTCACCCCCAGGTTCGCAGAGGACACCGCGTACAGGTGTTCAGTCTTGCCCTCCGATGATTTAGGTCAATCATATCTCATGGCGCATGTGCACATTATTCTAATGTGAACAGTTTATTGTAATACAGTTATGTTACTCCCTTAATTACAACAGCATCCTACCGAGAATGGGCCAAATGCTGGACAACTCAAAGGCGGACTCAGCAGCCTTGATAGCTTGCCATCACCGACCCCGAAAACCGCGGAGAATTCAAGTTCTACCGGAACGGAAAGTTGGAACGATGGAAAACAATTATCCAGGGGTCGCCATTTTTTCTCCACTGAAACCCGACAAGGGCTCAAAGTAGTCCAGCGATGCGCTTTTGCAGTGAGCACATGGGGCTCATCTTGTATTTATTCAAAAGAAAAGTACCCGGAGTCTACAGTCAAAGCTGTTCATGTGGCTACTAGAGGAGAGATTCGGAGGCAAGCCCAAGGTCAGTCCTACTAAGCTATGATAAACAATCCTGGCTACATCAAAAGATCCACACGCTCGATCCTAAAATATAGTTGGATACAGCAATTCCAGACGACAAAAGCTATTGAAATGCTGCAGAGAGATAGAAACAGAGCGAGAAATCCTGGGGTCGATACAGATGACGTGATTGGTTTACATAGAGGGCTCTCTGTTGTAACTGTACTTCCTGAAGAATAAATAAAAAAAATTAATACAAGAAACAGAAGGGTTTGTGGGTTTGACGAGAATGTTTCCACTCATGTCAATGTTATAGTTCAGACACCCGCATGGGCCTATAGGGCGCCAAAATAGGATAATGAATTCAAATACAAGCCTCTACGCTATTTTTGATGATATTTCAATGAGTTTCTTCTTAGATACACACACGATAAAGACTAGATCACCGATGATTTATGTATACCAAGTCAGTCTTTACTTTCGTTGAAAACTGCCAAAGTACTTCTAAAGTGCAGAAATTTTTTAGCTCAGTCCACTTCAAGATACTCTATCAGGACACACTGGGGGCTGTTTGGCCTACTTCTAATTGCTAGTTAAAGCTACTTTGTCTTATAATCTATTTTATGTGTATTTTGGATAGCTTCTACTAGTAGACGTGGTGCTGGAGGAGAGAGATGGATGGACTCAGGAGAGTATGTGTTCTTTAGGCCTGCTATCTTTGTCATGATCACTTTATAATTAAATTTATTATTCCTAAAAAAATTTCGTAGAGATTTTTAGCTCATACTTTCATCTCGAAAATAGCGACCTTGGTCATTCTAGACATCTCACTATTACAGATGTAGAAATCTTAGAAAATTGAAATCGGCGTGGTATCTTTCCTATCCCCAGATAAAGCGCCTTGGTACTCTACTCCTGTGTAAAACACAAATTCTAATTGTGCCTGTTGAGTATTTACGATTCATGCCATACTTACTTGGCACATGTCCATCTGTAAAAGAAAGCTATCTTTGGAACAATAACTTAAGGTTCCTGCCAATACCCTTACTCATTTTTGAAGTGAATCATATTATTGTTGCAGTAGAGCCGTATCCAAGAATTAGACAATAATATTCGTGGAGTTGGTTAATTTTTTATCCATGAATCAGCTATAAATAACAGTAGCATGTGCTGAATGAAAATTGTAATGAATTATTCCAAACTGTGATTCACAGGATCGCTTGTGTAAAATGAGGAAAGTTGAGAATCTGCTTAATGAACAACGTGAAATATTTTTAGCGACTGTAATTTAAATATCCAAAGGATGATCCGAGTTAAAGAAACATAAAGTGTCGCATAGCACAACAGGTAGGAGCTCAGATAATATCCTTCAGAGAGCTCTCATCCTGTAGCTATTGTATTGTGAGTGCTTGTAGGTATGATTCAAATCCAATTTTTGGGGATAATAGCGATTACTTTCCCAGGCTAAACTATTAGCCAGCGGTTTGCCACATCTTTAGCAAGCTTATGATTCCCAGCTATTATAAAGATTGACTGTAGGTTGTAAGCAGAATCAAGTGTTATGTTCTCATCACGGGACTTGTAGTCTTGATCAGAGATCTCGTCAAAAACTCTCATGTAATAGGGGATTGCAAGCTGAACTAATCCAAGTAAATGGTAACACCTTGCAACGTTAAAGTGTGCTTCTTGACGTTCCTCAATAGTTTTCGCCTGCTTGCGGTTTTTATAATAAGCTTGCATAAAAGAGATACCTTGCATTATACTGTGTTGTCGATTTTCCGCTTGCCTTTTGAGGGCGTGATGTATATACGCAAGGCCAATGCTTAAGCTTATCATAGGATTTCCCGGGTCTAACGCATCAGCTCGTAGGAAATAGTCTTAAATACATTAGCAGACGCTCGGACACTGAAAGTGGGGTTCGTTACTGAGAGCATAGGCATAACTCGTGCCTGCATACAAAATATGCCCGTAAAGCATTAAGAGAGGAATATCCATTCCGGCTGTAGCTTCTGAATCATTATTCCTAGTCGTTAGTACGTTCGTACCACTTTCGCCTATTTTACTTTCGCTAGAAGCATCTCCAACTAAGGCGAGATCCATAGCTTTTATCTGTCGCAAAACATATTTTTGTGTTGGCCCTGAGCTATACCATGAGACTGGAGATTGACAAATACGTAACATAGCTGAAAATAGCCTATATGAATCAGTAGTAAACTGATATTCTCTCATGAAGAATCGAGCAACAGAAGCGCAAGTTTCCTCGTCGTTGGAAAACAATGCGCACACTAAAAGTTAGAGAATTGAAGTCGTTACTGAGGATGTTATTAACTTACTACACCATCCCATATTGATCAAAAACATATCTTCTCGAGAGTGATAAAAAACAATGGCATCCTTTGCAGCTTCACAGAGCTCATAAGACTCGTGTGCGCTACCATTTCGTGCAAGACACAATGCGTATTCGAGAAATATATCTAGCCAAGTATTGAAGGAGATCCCGCGATAGTCTTGTGGGATATCTACATTTGTAGGAGGAGCGTCTTGAGAATCGGCACCAAGTCCTGTGGTCACAAGTTAATCGCCATAATGATTTGAGCTAAATGTCAATATACCCTTTGTTAACCGCTCTGCCATGGCTGTGAGATCCGAGTCTAGAGGTGTCTCTGCTAGAATGCGCGAGTTACCAGAGTAGCCGATAAATTTGATAAACTTATCCCAAGGGTAGAATGTTTTGAAGCCGCGGAAATCATCTGTCAAGTCTTTTGCTGCAGCCATCCAAGCAAAGAGAGACTTTGGATTACCAGATCTCATACCATCCAACTCTTCGGTTAGAACGTTTAATTGGGCCTTCAAGTGTTCAGCTCGTGTTACCTCATCCATATAGACTGATGATTTGGAAGCCTTTGATGTTGATGGCCTTGGTTTTCGCATTCTTCTTAGTTTTGCTTCGGCATCTCTTCCGTGACCATCGTGACAACCCTCAACAGAATATCCATTTCGTCTCAATTGCATTGCCTGATTAACCAAATTGAATGCCTCTTCCATCCTTCCTAATCTCTCGAAAATTCTCGCCAGTTCCATTCGTGCGTCAATATTATCATTATCTTCATTAAGAGCGGCGACAAAGTACTTCTCGGCGTCACTGTCATTTCCTAGATGTAAGTAGCATCTCCCGATGTCGATTAATAGCCAGGAGTCAGTTTCCTCTGGCATTTTAGCCAATGGATGATAGTAACTCAACGCGTTTTCATAGAAGCCAGAGTCACGGAACTGGTCAGCTATTGGACGAAGAAGATGAACATGTTCTAAGGATCTACATTCGCCTATATCATCTAATAATCCAAGAATTTCGAGATGAACCTAGGAAAGTTAACATGGATGAATAGACCGTAACAATGTAACTTACCATAGCCTCTTCGTTGCAGCCAATTTGAAGGCGACTTAGTCCAAGCTTCATCCGTAATTCTACGGGTAGACTGTGGCCGTAAGATGCCCAGGAGTACTTCCCAAATTCAAACCCAGGTACTGTGGCCCTTCTCGAATCATTTAGATCCCACTCACAGTCATTATCTTCAATATTATCCCAATAGCTTTCGTCTTTCCGTCCTAGTAGCCAGCGAGACAGGTTTTTCAGAGTCCAGATCGCTTTTTCATATTCTCCAGCAAATTCGAGGAGCGTTATGTACGTGTCAAGATTAGACCAGGTAAAAGGTGTACTGGAAACATCATCATTCAGTCTGTAATGTTCGATGGTTTTAGCGTATAATTCGATTACTATATCCACATCGCAGCAATCAATGCTAAGCTCTGCTAGGGTATCAAGTATTCCCAGGTCGTGAGGACAGCGGGATAAAATATGTCTATATTCTGCGATAGCATGCCTAAGATATCCTCTTTCAACGAGAACAGCAGCCTTCTTGAGACGAGTATTTATATCTCTCGGATTAGCTCGCACTGCACCAGCAAAACAAAATGCTGCGTTTGTTAGGTATTGTTCTCGCAAAGGACCCATCTCATTCAAAGCATATTCTGCGGCTACCACCCATGGCATCGGTACTTTAGGACGTAAGTGAGCAGCGTACATCAGAGCCTTTAATGCATTATCAGGCTGTTTCATTTCGTGAAGGCTAGTTGCCATCAAATTCCATGCTTCATATGTTTCAGCGTTGATGCGTATTATTTCAGCTGCTGCTGCTGTAGCTTCTGGATAATTTTGTGCCTGGAAATACTCATTTGCGATTCCAAGACGCATTTTTATATCTGCGGATGGTTCTACAGCTTTTCTTGGGCCTCTCGGAGGACCTCTTCCCCGAATAGGCCGCGAAGTGCGACTTATTTGTTGGCGTGGTAGCTTTTTGGCAACTGTGTCGTGACTTAGCTCCTCGTCATCCCACTTTGCTACAGTCGTGGATTCATCGGCATCATCTATGTTAGATTCATTTAGACCTAAAATTGAGTCTCTAAATTTGGCTAATGATGCGTTAAACTCCCGATAGTCAGAATCTGCATCTGATACTTCGTTGATTCTAAAAGAGTGCTTGATTTAGTGAACAAACATGTTTCATAGGATAATTTGAAGCGTACTCGTCAAACGTCTCATTTCCATAGATTAATCCTGCGCCTTCTCCTTCCTGTATTTCGGTATAAATGCCCTCATGAGACAATGTATCTTGAGGTAATCCCATGGTTAAGATAAAAAATTGAGCGAGGCGTTGAGAATGAAAACTTTTGCTTTTCTACATAAAGGGTTCTGTAAAATGGTACGCGGATATTAAGATAATCCTCCTGCTTGGAATCTTTGTGCTCCCTCAAAAATTTGGGCTAAACATTAGATCCATTCATGTGTCAGATGTTGATAACGGGTGCTAGCTTTCGACGTTTAGCGCAAAGTAAAGAAACCTAAGTCGATTTCCTGCTAAGTTGAGATAAACAATATCGGATTTGAATGTACTGTGTTGCACTTATTAGTCGACCTATCAAGCGCTAGTACAGCTTATATTTTTGCCAAGGAAATTACCAAAACTTAAGTTTAACTGAGTCGTTCTAGATTTTGAGCGTGATCATTATCTACGGTGTTTGCTGTTCCTAATATTCTTCTAGATTATTATTGTTGGTGCCCTCATGTGGTGATCTGTTATGACTACCGGGATACTATGCTTAACAAATATCAATGGCTATTGGAATGTGATCCGTGGCCAGGAAATAACACGCTAATATTGGGATTAAAAACCAGACGCGTCCGCGCAGCACTTGAGGTATGTGGTGGGTTAGGATAGCTAAGTGGTATCCCCATGGACTGGTCTTGCAAGAAAAGTGTGTATCTTGACTACAAATTCTACTCCTGACAGATGGATGGCTGGTTCTAACCCAGTTGACTACCTTTTTTTTTTGCATCAGATTTTAATTGCGTATGCAGCTATCTAGCTATGACACAATATCAAAGAAAAGTACAGAATAGATGATTCATCGTAAAGGAAGAGCACTCATGCCTCGGATTTCATTTGCAAGTACCACTGCGAAGTTATGGTGGCTTTTTCTTCACCACAAGTCAATCCTCATCCGTGAATACCCACCCAGGGAAACGTCTCAAAAACCCTCGATTATCCAGACATGCCTCCGTCATCCATCAACTTTTCTCCGCGCGAAATGCAATCTGAGATGTCTCCTTCCCAAGTGGAATAGGTGCATAGGCCACTTAGACTATACCAGAGAACACCACCAGGAGCCGGACTACGGCACCTTCCATCGTTGGCTTGTGTTTATAGTGTCAGCTGCACTCTCGCGAGCGAAGTCTTGGCGCGCACAAAGCCCAATTCGTAAAACTCCTTGCCAAAATTCGGAATCTCATGCCCTTCGAAGTTATATCCCTCCTTCGCATCATCTTGTGAACTTGTCCTGAATCCTCTCACGTCCATCCCAAAGAAATGTCTCCCAGATTTGTGCACCACGCTTTGCTTCCTCCTGCGAGTGTAAATATCGGCGGGGGCGTGTATATGGTGGTCAACTGAGGCCAGAGAAGGTCGAGGAGTGGTGTGATCATTGGAATGAGGATGTACTAGGTCGTAATTGCAGAATTGATGATACATAGGTAGACGTCAAACTCTTTTTTTTTTTTTTTTAAATCATTTAATGTGCATTCAGCTATAGAGCTATGACACATGACCGGTACTATGTATACATGTAGGATGACTCTTTTGACGTTAGAGACACTCATACTCTGGATTTCATTCGCAAATACCACTATGAGGTATGCTTGCTTACACAAACAGTCGACCCTCCTCCGTCAGTACCCACCAAATGGAATCTCGGAACCTTTGGTTGTCCAAGCATGCATTTGTCATCCATGCATACCAGCGCCGCGAGAAATGTGGTTGTGTTTTGCTGGATTTGATACAGCGATATGTGGGTTTCGATCGATCACAATTGAAACAGGATGGTGACAAATATAACTCGCGGCTCTACTACAGCTAGTTCCGCAGAATGCAATAGTTAAGCTTAAGTTCTAATAAATTTGTCTATCCTCCTAACTCCCAACTCCGAAATCTACACTTTGTGCGTAGCTTACTAATTTTAGGCTAACCGCATTTAGTAGTCTATGTTATTGATTGAATTGAATTGAATTGTTTTAGGTCCTAAGCTATGCTCTATATCTCCTAGGAGTCAAAGACCGGTGTACACGGCCGAGATCATGCTTTCCGCATGTCCACCTCGGTTTCACCGCGTGAACCACTACACAACAAGTAGCTAGTTAAAAGAAAGAAAAATAGAAACTCCCGTAAACTCCCATAGCTAAAGTTCCAAGCCCAGTAATCCAGTTTGTGGTTAGAAAAACGACACTTCTCGTCTCGTTTTCCTACCTGCCATGCATTGTGCTATGACTAGTCACCACCATCTCCGCTGAGAGCTGGAGACGGATCCGTAGGTGGGCCCCCGAAGCAGCCGGTGTCCTGCGCAAATTTTGTAAAGTTCTCGAGGCACTTAGGCCCGAGAAGCTTGTGGACAAAGTCGTGATGTGACATTGTCCCTCGTAGTCGACGCGTCTGGCGTGCGTGCAGTCGACAGTGAATGAAATGGAGAGGTGATGTTTCCTCCCCACACGCACACTCCATTGAAGCTGCGAAGTTGCTAAAACGGCGGTGGCATGCCGCGAAGTTTCCGTGGCCCGTACGGGCTGAGATCAGTTCACGGAGTGGGCCGGTATCCACTTCACCGAGACTAGAGCCTTTTTTGATAGCGCCCTAAATTGGCGTACGTCGTCTAGGCTTGTTGTGGCAATTCCCGTCAACAGTGCCTTCACTGCAGACTGACTATCCGAGAATACATTGATCTGCTACCTGCCGTCCCTTCTCCCGTTTTGCATCTCCAACAATTCCAGCGCAGCTTACAGGGCCTTCCTCGCCCCTATAATTTCCGCATCAAGCACTTCACCACCATACTTGATGCCACATCCCTTCAACAGAGTTTTTCTATCCCTCTTCAAGACGAACCCCCATGCTGAGCGACCATTCCTCTCCGACAATCCATCTGGGTAGGCGCAAATATCTGATGCCGGTACACTATCGATGAACCGAGTTGCCTTCTCTTCCTCCTCTAGCCTTGAGCCGAAACCCGAAAGATAGCATGGCGGCGGTAAAGGCTCAGAATTTTCCGCGTCCGGGAATTATCGGTAAGCCCGCTGGACTCGTGACATCTGGAACTCTGGATTTTTAAAGATTCGAGCATATTTCTTGTACTTCCGTGTTCCATCTCTTGGACACACGGCAGCACGGGTCCGGAGCGGGTGGCGATTGTCTAGTGAGTGTAGCCGAGCCAAAAGCCGTAGTCGGTTCCCTTCCAGAATGATCTTCCCTGTCGGGATACCTCCTTCTCGGTGGAGAACAAGATTCGGTGTCGTTCTCATTACTGGAAGGGCAGCGCACAGTCCCGTCAAGATTGCCTTGTCGATCATCTCACAGAAAATGCTGGTACGAGGGGTACTGATCCCCTTTTGGGTCAGACGTTTGAGGCCGGGCCACCAAACATCTGCTCCAAATGTTGCTATGGGGACGATGCAAGTGTCCACCGCTCGAACCAGTGCCGAAGGGGCGGCTCCTCGATACCCTGAATTGAAGCGTCGAATTTGCTGAGCAACCTTCAGAGCTTTGCCGCACCACGTTGTGACGTGGTGTTTGAAATCCAGTCGCGGGTCTAGGATTACTCTCAGCCAGCGTATTTGGTCTGATGGCTCGATAACCACGCCGTTCACACAAATGCCCACTGGCTTCTCGCGTTTTCGTCCGGGAAATGGACTACCTCCGACTTGTTAGTATCGAAGGAGACTGCGTTAGTACAATTGAAATTAGTTCCGGAGATTGGAAGAATTACACACTAGCCTCGAGTTTGATTAAGAGATACAATAAATGTGTTTAACATACGAAGAAGTTTACTGATGTTTAATGAATAGTTAATTGTGATTAAATTGCTATAATTCTATATGTGTGGTTAGAAGCCCCTCTATTTACATGAAAGCGTGGTTTTCCGCACACTAGTGTGAACTCCAACATACTTCCTAATCTAACCTAAACGGGAAGGTTGTTGGAGATCCTGAAGCCAATGTATGTTATCAGGCATCTATTGGCTAATTACTATTCATGCCAGTGAGTGATGATATGGGTTAATCATATCTCATAGCGCCAGTGTATATTATTCTAATATGTACTATTTGCCTACTGCAGTTATGTTGCTGCCTTAATTACAACAAGTACTTGCCCAATCCAGAAGATGGTCCACTTCCTTCTGTACAGAAGCGGCTGACTCGGCAATGCTGCGCCCGAATCCTAGGATCCCGACGTCGTCTGCGTAGCTGAACCTCATTCCTACATTGCCACTTCGCATGGGCTCTACCATGTACAGAAGGAAGAGCAGCGGCGATATCGGCGATCCCTACGGAACCCCACACACCAGCTCTCTTTGTCCGGTTACCCCTCCTAAGTATCGTACTTGCACCTTTCGTTGTGCAAGAAATGACGTTGTCCATCTGAGAATTGAGTCAGGCCACCCCTGCTCTTGTATCCTCCTCACCAAACGATTGTGAAGTACTGCATCGAACGCGCCTTGGACATCCAGAGTCGTGAATGTGACCGCCCATCCCTGGGTACTTGCTTCTTCAATGTCGTGGACTACGCAGCTGACAAGGTCGTTTGCCGATCTTTTAGGAAGCGCCCCAAATTGTTGGTATCCGACAACGTCGAACGTAACCGCGAGATGGGCCATCCGCTTTGCCAAGAATCGTTCCAGTCCCTTACCCAAACATGACAAAAGGGCAATCGGTCTCCAGCCCTTAACCGTCATTGGATCCCGGTTCGTCTTGCGTAGGAGCACCACTTCAGCCAGCTTGAAGCAGGATGGATGGGTGCCAAGTCTGATGCAGGCGCGGAAGAGAGTGCCAACAAATGGTCCAATCGTCTTCCAACAACTTCGCAGAAGCTCTGCAGAGATCCCATCAGCTCCAGACGCTATATTGGCGCAGCCTATGGTGCACATGCGGATCTCCTCGTCCGAGACATGGTCGTTCCAGGGAATCCGGTTAGTGCTTGGCGCATCGAGTGGCGGTAGATCGTCCATCGCTTGGTGCCGTGCCAGAAGAGCGTCTTGGAGTACCGCTGCCAGCTCGGCTGGGTCGGAGTACATCTTCCCTTCGTGGTTC